GAGAGTCCTATAGGATCATTACTCTAATAACAAATACCAAATTAACTTCGAATCCATGAAATCTTTATTGCGAAGAGTTATTGTGACTCTGTGAGAGGCAGCCATGGGAGAATTTTCATATGTATGTTAGTGATGTTTGGGATCAATTTTTAGTTGATCAAAGATTTCTCTTTTGGTTGTAAATTTTATTCAATGTGGACAAGAATAATTAATGATTGGAGCACTCTATTTCTCTCTCTTGATTGTTTGTGTGGTTATGTTGTAGTAAGTTCTTTTTGTTTTTATAGGTTGATGTTATGTATTATAATCCTCTTTTTTCTTTTTTTTGACAAATGATATTATGCAGTATAATCCTCTTTTATACTAGTGGTGTGACTATTGGGAAATCCATTGCCAATCTCATTTAGATAATTAAAAAATGGATATTAGGATTCCTTTAGTTGGAGAAACAAGACAATGCAATCAAATTTAGAAATTGATATCTAAATACTAATGTCAAGGTTGCATTGAAATAACTCTATATTGAGGTAAAACTAGTGCGGCATCACACGCCTTCCAGGAGGCAAACATGGCTGCTGATTGTTTGGCAAAGAGTGTGGCATCTATGGCTCAACCATAGTATGGTGGGCTCATCCCCCAGATTTTGTAATTTTTTTCATTATGCAGGACCTTGCCAACATCCTCTATGTAAGAGTCATGTAATGCAGGTATATAATAACCCTCCAGAATGTAATCTTTATCGGGAGTATTAATAAAAATTTAAAAATGGGTCGGAGCTCATCATCCCACTTATTTACCCGCAAAGTAAATAAATAAATAAATTGTAACTCCTCATGGTTCAGTATAATCAGTGGAAAAATGTTGGTAATAATAATTGCGTGCCTCTGTAAATAGATTCCTGGCTATCAGCAATATGAATCTCATCAGGGACATATGGGTAGGAAAAAAGGCACACATTTTATCATCATTTTTCAAGCTCCATTGTCATCAAATACCAAAGAACTTCTGGGAAAACTTTTTCAAATAAATTATTTATGGTGACTTGGAACATATTATGGTATAAATTTTGCAAATAAATTATTTGTGGTGACTTAGTATGTGTTCCATGTTCTAAAGTTACACTTTGAAATATTGGGTGAGTGAATTTTCATCAAAATACACATTGATGTCTATAAATGGCAAGGTGAATTATCTATTTTGAATGGCTATGTACGGAACAGACTACAAGTGGCAATAATATTTTCTCTACTACGATCAAACAGTTAAGACTTAAGAGCACATCCATTATTATTATTTTAATTTTAATTTTAATTTTTTTTGAAATCCAATAGAGCTGAAGTTTAGCATCCACACTTTGAGAAACTAAAAAAAAAGATACCACAATATACTTGAAAATTTAAGAGGTATTTTGGCCATTTTTAATTATTGAAAGTATTTTTAATATTTTAGAAAACGCACCGTGCTTGAAATGTGGATGAACATTTCAATTTAATCATGGTTGTATAAGCTAAATTATTAATAAAGTAGTCAATCACACTTTAAACAAATGCAAGGAATATAAAAATAAAAATAAATGAATAAAAACGTAAGGGAAAATATATCCTTTCTCAAGGTCTACATGGAGTTCATCCTAATTTTTTTTTCACAATATCAAAACACTTTCTTTCTTCTCAATTAACCAAGTTCTTCAAAAAACCATCTTCCCTTAAAATAAAAACTAAATTAACTAATAAAAAATTAAATTAAAAAATATAAAAATCCCTCTCTCACTGTCATGCTCTCTATCTGTCTATTTTCATGTGACCCATAAAGCTCTATCTAAATCTTTTACTCCTACGAATATAGGAGTGCCCCATTATTAACTGATGGCTACTCCATCCATTCCCTTTCTCCACACAAGCAAATCTAATAAATAGAAATCCTAAACAACTAAAGCTCATCAATCCTAAATTTTGGAGACTCTCATCCTATTCAATACTTAGAGCTAAAAATAGATAAATAAGAATATTAAAAATAAAATTCAAATTGCATTATCAACCATCAATCCAGGTTAGATGGTTTAGAGTGTATGAGTGCACTGTTAGGGTATGGTATTTGATAGAGCGGGATGGCATAGTTATGCACCCAATCCCAAATAGTTGGGACAAAGCTCGGATGATGATATACACAGTTACATATATTCTTACATACATGCATACGAAAAGGATGTGAAAGCCATTTCTTTATACACCTTTTCCATTGGGATGAACAATCTAAAAAAAATTGAAAATGCAAATTGGAAAGTGTTTTTTCTTTTTAACCCAGTGAATATTGGTAATTCATTTAATGAGATGACTAGATGTAGGCTTTATAAGGATTTTTTTTTAATCCCAGAAATTATAGATGGTCTTATCATTGTTAGATGGAAGATTTTAGGAAAGAAAAAAATTGATGTGAGTTCTCAAAGGCATAGATCTCAATGTCCACCAAATGGACTGTCTCAACCTAGATAGGAACTTAATTTACCCTTTGTTAAGAACAAATTCAATTTTTTTCCTATGGGGATTGATTGTAACGGTTTTTTTCCCATGGGGATTGATTGTCAGTGAAGAGTATGAGTCCAAAAATCTGGGATCATATAGATGCCATGAAGATGATTTTTTTTAAAGGGTGTGGTTTGCATAAAGTTGGAACCTCAAACCATCCCATTAAAGCACTCCTTTAAATTTTATCATAAATGTAATTTTGATATAAAAAAATATTGGGATGATTTGATAATCTATTTTGATCTCTAATTATAAAATTTTAAACTTTAAAAATGGTTCAAATCAAGTAGATCAATATATAGTATTTTGCGTATTCAAAATCTTTTTTTCATACATCTCGATATCGAGATGATCAATTTGAAGGTTTTCCATCATCCAAACAGCCTTTTATGATGGATTTTTTAGATTGCAACTTTATATAAATTTTATCATTTTTTAAATAGTTATTTTATTATCTTATGATATATTCATGACATGAAATTGCCCCAAAGTTTGAAGTTACATTCTTTCCATTCTAACAATAAATGTCAAAAAGAAAAAGAAAATAAATTTTCACCCTAGAAAATATCAAAATAAGTTAAACTCTAATAGTGAATCTTAGTTGTGCATTTTGTAGATAATGAGATCAACACCTTTAAGAATTCAAAATCAATTATTTGTTTTTTTTAGGATTGTTCATCTAATGTCCACAAGAGCATCTACAAAAATCAGGATAAAAAATGATCATTTTAAGGCGTATGTCTAATCATCCCATCAAATAGATGGCCTGTATTCATTTGGTAAAAAACAATTTTTATGACGCTTTTTGAAATTTTGTTTCTCTAACATTATTCGTCCTAGTTAATTGAGCGTAGGTTAAAAAATTGGAGACAAACATGTTCTCATAACACGGTTTTTGAAGGTGTGTTTCATTATTTATTAAAATCCAGTTGCATGAATTATAAATTAGGTGGTCAACCCATCCCAATTAAATTTGATAATGTTATTTTTAAATTTCATTTAACTCAAACACCTCTTTAGAAATTTCCCATGTTCAATGATTGAAACCTAAACGAGCACAATCATTTGGCAATTTAGCATCAATTAGCTAGCTTGATTCAAATGATGAAAATGCTATAAAGACAAAATTTCTAAATGATGAAGTGCCGCTGATTGTTTAGGGTTAGCAACATAAAACTTATATATATATATATATTAGTTTTTATTTTATAAACATTTGACCATTATTTTGCTAAAGAGTAATGATCCTATGAGACCTTCCCACACCCATGTGTGTAGCACGCCAAATGACCACCATTAAATTTGGCACATATCTCTAGAAAAGTTCTCACATGGGTGTAAGACTGACTTTTTTAGAGATATGTGACAAATTTAATGGTTATCCTTTGAGATCCTACACACATGGATATGTGAGGGTTCATAGGATCATTACTCTTTACTAAATAACCCATACTCCAACTTGCTAACTTTAATAATCGAATAATATTTTCATCATTTGGGCTGCTTAAGTGAACTTACATCACTAAATACATTCAAGTATTTCTAGAGCAATTAGTTATTTACAATATTTTTAAAAGAGCTATGTGAGTGAAATGAAACTTAAAAACAACTCTAATTTAAGACTTCATGATTTGCAAAAGGCGTTGGGGTATTTAATTGGGGAAAAAGTTTACCTTAAAATTTTCATTAGAAGAAGTTGTTTTGATGCTCAAATATCCTCAAATTGATCATCTCACCATCGAGATACATGGACATGAAAAAAAAAAGGATTTCAAGTTCTATTGTAATGCATTTTTGGATTGTCAATTTTCAATATTTTCAAAGTTTCATAGGTCTACTCGATCTACACTATTTTTAAAGCTTTAAATTATAATTAAAGATAAAAATATATTTTAAGGCTATCATAAAGATTTTCAATATTGAAATCACGTTTCTCTACATTATTTGAAGGTGGGCATTGTTTAGAGCATTGGCTCTATACAAACTGCACCCTTTGGAATATAATACCAATTAAAGCATGCGGTTTGTATAGAGCCGAGCTTCTAAACAATCAAAGTAAAGCATACCTTCAAATAGTATCGAGAAATATGGTTTCAATACTGAAAATCTTTGTGATAGCTTTAAAATATATATTCATCTTTAATTATAAAATTTAAGGCTTAAAACATAGTGTAGAACGAGTAGATCTATGAAAACTTGAAAATCTTGAAAATTGCCGATCCAAAAATGCGTTACAAGATGCATTATCTCGAAAACTTGAAATCAATTTTTTTTTTCATGTCCATACATGTTGATATCGAGATGATCAATTTGACGATATTTGAGCATCAAAATAGCATCTTCTAGTGAAAAATTTGAGGTTGGCTCTAATTTGATTGTTTAGAGTGAAGGCTCTACATAAACTTTTCCTTTTATGAATCGACCGAAAGAAAAGAAATAATGTGAAACATACTCCCCTCAAAGGCTAAAAGTAGGAGCAGATACCCAAAGCATTCGGTTTCCTCTTTCGTGTCACACGTTTTGTATTTCGCCTACGGAGATAAAGGGTAGGCCTAAATGTTGTCGTCCCGCCATTTCTCCACAATCGAAAACCCTAATTCCCCCTCGGCAACTCCAATAACAAAACCCTAATTGCTTCTTCCTTCTGCTCTCTCCCCTTCTTACAGCATGGAAAAACCCTAGTTCTTCTTCTGCAACCCCCGAAATCCTACTTATCCGATCTCCTCCACCTCTTTCCGCCACTTTTTCGAAGGGAAAAAAACACCTAACCCTAACCCTAAATTGAGCACGCTCCTTTGGTGCTCCATGGATTACTCCGCTGTTGGAGAACCCCAAGTTCCCGGTCAACCCCAAGCTCCACAACAGCAAGAGCAAAATCAAACCCTAGAACAACAACAACAACAATACTATGAGCAGCAGCAACAAACCCTTAATGAATACCAGAACCAGCAATACCTAGACCCTCAAGCTCAGCAAAACCAGGCATATTATGCATACTATGCCCAAAACCAACAATATTATCCCCAGCCCACAGAAACCTCTGAAACTTATCAGTATTACCAGCCTGAATATGGAAACCCTAATTCAAATTTACAGGCATGGCCTAGCCATGGTTATGGACAACCTGATCAAGCAAATTTACAGGCAAACCAAGCAAATTTACAGGCAAATCAGCCAAACTTACAGGGGAATCAGGCAAATCAGCCGAATTTACAGGCGGCAGCGGCTCTGGTTGGTTTGGCTGAGCTCTCTCAGATGGCAGCCATGGCTCAGGGTATGAACCAGGCTGCAGGGTCGAGTATGAACCAGGTGGGTGGGGATTTCTCTCAGATGTCCCCTTATAGGGAGCCACCGTGGAAGAGTGGGGCTTTTGTTCAGGGGTCGGTGCCTAGGCCTCCAGGAGTGGGATATGGGCACAGGCCCTTTGGACCAGTGAGTACACGCATACTCTCACTCTGTCTCTCGTCCCCTCTCTCTCGCTCTCTCTCTATATTCCTCCGTTTGTTTCATTCTCTATTTATCCCTTCTCCTTCCCGTCCATGTCTCTTTGTTTATGTCAATTTTTACCTTCTTCGTTGATTTAACTGTGTGGGTTTTCCTTCGGAATTGTAACCGGGTCATATCAATGTCAGTTGTACTAGTACTCTGTGTGTGTGTGTGTGTGTGTTTGCAACTATATTGGTCTTATCAATCTGCGTATTTGATTGTTTTCCGCTATTTCTCATTTACTTTTCGCTTTCCTGTTTTGTTCTATTGATTTGTTTTCTTTGGCATGAAGTATTGCAATTGTGTCTACCTCTTTTGTTACAGTATTTCAAGATGCTGGTAATTTTTCTTCTTGACTAATTATCTTTGCATAACTGGATACTTGCTCGTGAAATTTGAAGATTCTTTTTGTTGGATGGTCTGGGCAATGATATTACTTTTCTCTTTTGAGCTTAACTGAGGGAAACACATTGAATTATACCCCCCTATTTGCATTCTAGCATTTCCAAATTCCAATTGTTAGTTACATGTAGAATTACTATATTTGTTTTTATCTGAAATTTGGGAAGCTAGATGATATATGATGATGAAATTTTTTGTGATGACTTTGGCCCTGTGTTATGTGGAACTTCCACATCAAACATGCGAGCTCGAACAACTCCTATATTTGTCTTCTTAGACCATTGTTTGTGTTGAATGAGTTTCCTAGTTTGGTGGTGGTGGTTATATTATTCACTGAGGTGGATGCTTGTAAACATTAATTATGTATACTATTTTCTTGGTTTTAAAGAGAGTATATCATGAGAGGGTAAATTTTATGTTGGTATTCTTTTGCGGCCGTTAGAGGAGATGGGTTTTTGGCTTTTCATGATTTTCCCGTGGAGGAACATCTGTGAAGGCTAGATTTTACTCTCCCAGTCTGTCTTGTCATTTTTGTAAGAAAATGACACCCTCTCTTTATGATTGACTTATGAAGAGAATGATATTATATTGACTTAAATGAGTACTGAGATATATCTATTGTCATACTTGGTATGCTTTCTCTGTTATTTTTTATCTGTATATTGTATTATTTGAAGGGTTAAGATTAAAGATGTGGAAAGGCAAGATATGCATTGCAACAGACCCTTTTGTTTCACAAGTAATTAACATAGAGAACAGGTGAAGAATATAGAAATAATTGTTAGCCAAAAAGAAACAAAGGCAGTGACAATTTTGCTCGTCTTCTCATGTTTTCGTTCATGTACGTAAAGTCCCCATTTGTTTGCACATCTGCTTCTGCATGTGCGGCGGTTGAGGACATTATTGTGCATGCACATGTGTAATATTCATTTGCATGTGTTCATTGCACAACATGCAAAGATTCTGGTTCGCATGCAATGAAATAAAGAAATGAAAAATAAAATCTATTGGTCCAGTTTTTAAGCGATGTTATCAAATGCGGTATGCAGATTCTATGTGCTAGGGGTGTCTAAATTACTTTACAAGTACATAACGTCCAAACCAAAAAAATCCATGATGTTAAAAATGAATGTGGTTTCAATATGAAATTCAAAATCAAAAGAAATTCTGGTTTCTAATTTTATATCCTTGCCCCTTGAAACCAGTTATTACTCGATAAATCTTTGCTTGAATCCTTCAAAGCATAGCACAAAGTCTACTCGAAATTTTGCCCAAAAAAAATCTATAGTTTGTCGAATACTTAGTATATATAAAGGAATTCGATTTTCAATTATTGAGTTTAATCCCCTTGGAAGCAATGAGTATTGGTTCCATGGTGCTTTGTCCTCCCTCCTCCCCCTTGGTGGTTCCAGTTTTGCCCCTTCTCGTGGGCATCATTTCTGCTTGCGAGCTGGGGCTGAAAATGTGGGCACATCATAGTGTGTAACTACCATATGCAGCCGATGTGCCGCATATGTGGTGCATCTAGTTACGCATAGGTGGCTATATGCAGAATGGTCTTTGATGCAGCCACATAATGCTTTACCCCACTGCATCTCTTAACTATGATTTTAAGAGTACTTACTCATATGGAATATTTTTTCATTAGATCCATATGGTGATTCTATACAGATTCTCGTAAAAATTAGCTCCTTGTGCACATATTTTCCTATTATTATTTATTTTATTCTTTTTGATTAAGCTAAGAGAAATTGGATTACATCATGTTGTTCGCAAGGCAGAAAACCATTAACGTTCTTGGTTAGAGGGTGATGGGTGAGGCAGAAAGGCAGAGATGGTGGGAATAGAGAGAGTAGACTGAGAGTGTGGAAGAAAAATTAGGGGGAAAAGAATCAGGCATGACGTATAGTATATGACCTCTTTCAGTCTTTCCCATTTAGGCAAGTGGATTAATGGCATCTTTAGGCTCCTAGGTGTATTCACAAGGGTAACTGCCCTATCATGACAAATGTCCTTCATAATATATGTGAACCTGAAGGTAGTGGCTTTCTTCTGGGTTTATCTTATAATGTTTAGCTTTTAACCTGAACCATGGGAACTTAGGACACATTGGAACTCGACTGGGTCTTGAGCTCATGTCAGATCCGACAGACTTGGCTGAGTTTGTGAGAGACTTGGCTGTGTAGAAAAAGAAAAAGAAATATTGGAACCCGATCAGACTTGGCTGGTTCTGTTGTGTTTGGTTCTGGACCAGGCAGTCTGCCAACTTTTCATTCAGTGACCTGAACATTATTGGATTTGAAAAGTATGAAAATAAGGTTTTCAGTTTGTTGAGGAGGGCCTTGGCTTCAGCATATTAGTGTTTCTAAAACGTGCTGATCTTGCATAGATCAATACATGTGTTGTCTCTTCTACATCCCACAAACCCTGAGGAATCCAGGTCTCCTACAAATTTCCAACAAAGTTCGGCTTAATCATTACTTATGGAGGTGCCTGCCTTGAAATATGCTTGCAGTTTTAAGGTATCCAACTATTTGATTATTACTTCGCACTCCTCAACACTTATTGTGCATTCATATTAAAAGACTTCTTGTTCATTGGTGCTTATGAGTTCATCAAGTTCCTAACCCTCTCCCCAATCTTTAAGACTCTCGAGTCTAGAGTGTTTCCCTTCAACAATAGGTTTCTTATCCTTTTGAGTCCCCAACACCTATAGCACAGCGGCACTGTGCAAGGACCAAGACGTTTTCCCTAGCTGTTGGAAAGGACAAAAACTTGCCTGCCACATAAAAGATTCAAAATGGTGTTAACTCTAAACAGTCCCAGCATATAGCTCCAAATTGGTCAAGCAAACTTGCAATGACGTAGCCAGTGTTGGATAGCTGCATCCAAGGGTGTGAAGATGATCCATAGCACGTGCCTTATCAAGCATTTCCAGCATTTTGTGTATTTGTGTGTGTGTTCATGGGCGTGTTGGAGGTAGGGTGGCAGGAATCCCCCATATGGACCTTGGTGTGCATGACCTGTGGCGGTATTACCAATGGTCTTAGCAAACTGTTCCTTATTTTTATATGTTGAGATGCAAGTTGTCTGTTTATTTACTTGATAGAACTTGGTCTTTTATTCCTATATTTATATTTGTGTGATTACCACTTTACATGCCTACTCACACTTATATATACAAGAGAGCATAGACATACTTAACTTTTAATCTATCGAACTTTGAGGGCTTAATGTGTTCATCTTCTATTTTGAAAGCGCTAGAAGTGCGTCACTGCCTAGATACCTGCCAACAGAAGCAACAAAATTTTATTAAATTATTTTATTTCTAAATTTTCTGGGGGTATGCTTTGAAAATGGAGCGTTAGTCCTTTATGTTCATCAATTCAAATAATTGATGATGATGGCTAATGCTTCTGGTTTGATGGAACATATGTATGTACTTCACATCATTTTTGTTGCTACTTGGTTTTTTTGCGTATATTTCAGCAGCAAAGTGAAGCCTCCTGACCTTGAGGAACCTCCATATTGTTATGCTTTGGTCTCAAATGCCTCTGTGAGATATTGACGAGGTACCCTTATTGTTTGTTCGTCATTCTTCTTTTGCCATATCAATCAAAGTTTAAAAACTTGGGCCTAGAAGGTCCAAGCCGGGTTGACTCATCTGGGCTCAGTCAAGACTTGGTTGTTTACTAGGAGAAAAAAAAATGATAATCATAATTTTAAGACTTGGCCAAGCCTTTGAAACGTAGCTGGTTGCCCAGTCGGGTCGATTTGGGGGAGTCCTGAGTCTTGTGGCTAAGTTTTTAAACAGTGATATTATACAGTGTGGGAAGAAAATGTCCAAATATTGGCATTTCTTGACAATTCTGGCGATTAGGATTAGTGGATGTGCCATGGAAGTACATCTAGTGTTTGACTTGGTGTTCTTTCTTGTTCTTCAGCTGGCCTAGAAAGTGGAGCCAATATATTGTCTCACATTTGTAGTTTTGGACATCTCTTCAGGATGCTCATTAGGCATAGCATACCCAAGCCTGTGGTCTCTGGTACATATTCTAACACAATGGTCTCTGGTGACTCTGGCCCATCTAATGAGGTAGTGGTGCAGACTTTAGGTTGTTGCACTGAGTAGTGATGGTTAGCTCATGAAATTTATATATGTGAGTTAGTCCGTCATGTATGGATTAGATGGGCTTGTGTTTACCTTGTGTTATTCTTTCTATCTTATTTGGATTGCCAGAACAGAGGCTTGGCTTACCAAGATCTTGAACTTTGCAACATTAAGAATTTGCTAGGTGGATTAGTTAGATCTCCCTAGTAAATTTTCTCTATCTTTCCCTTGGTTTCAAGGAAAGAGCACATGAAAGGATGATGATGAGGCTGGGTTGGTTGGGCACGTGTGTTTACCTTTTCCTAACATGTTGGGGGTCCATAAGGGTTTTTGTTGTGTATGATTGCTGTATCTGGCCCACAGCAATGACCTCTCATGGATTACCCATGTTGGGCACACAAGTGGTTCCCAGGTTGAAATGCAGTTCCACCTT